GCCTGGAAGTGGTCCTCGCGAACGTATTGCAGCTACAGTGCCTGACAGCGGTGGTGGAGCGGGTGGTAGCAGCGGGGCTCCTCCGGCAAGGACGTCTAACTCGGGTGCCTCGCGCCACTGGCCACCCTTCCAGGTGCTTAATTCTTGTCCCTGCAAGTGTTACTGTCGCCACCAGCCACGCCATCGCCGCCTGCCACGCAACGTGTCTGCCTGGTGAGGAGAGATCGGGGAGTAGGGAGGGGAGGGCATACCCTTCCAAATCCTAAACCTGACTTTCCTGGAGTGTCCCATTCAACCCTTCGATGTCCTGACCGCAGCTGACTCTAGACCCTTTAGTTGCATGTCAAACCCAGCTAAGCTCCAATCCTTCAGGACCAAGAGGAGCCTTGATACCATACTGATCCCTGACAGAGAACACCGTGGCCCACCGTGGCCCAGCCCCTTAGTATCCAGACCACCAAGCTAACTCTTGGCCCTCTTGTTACTCTCTGGAACCATCAGGGAGGATAGCTGTTCCCACCTGGCCTGACCCTATTCACCTCCCTGACCCTGTCCTAAGGGCATCAAGAAGGACCATGTCCCAATTTCTTCAGGGATGGGGGGGGGGGGAAATGATGGTCTCCTGGAACCAAATGGTATAAACATAGGCCTCCAGTGGAAGCCCCAAGCTTAGTCCCTCAGGCTCCTGACTCCTCCACCCTTTGACATCTTCTCCTGACTCTGGGATTCAAAGTTTTGACCACCAGAGGGCACTGATGTCCCAGTCCATGTGCTGCAGTAGTTACTCCCTCAGATCCAGGGGATACACTGCTTGCTCGTTACCTCCTCTTCACCCTTGAATCTCAGGATCCAGTCATCAGGGTCTGATCTGTCTGACCCTGGCTCCTGAGGACCCTGAATCACTGGGAGACCCTCTGCCTTGGAACCTCTGGGGCTCAGCTTGGGCCAGGAGCAAGGGGTTGGGGGAGCCACTATCACCAACCCTCAGTCCCTTTCCTAAGTTTAAGTGGATACAGCTCTGCCCTAAACTGCCTTTGGGATATTCAGATATGGTCCCTTATAGTGATGGAGAAAGTGGAGCCTAGAAGGGATAAGGATCACATAGCCAGGCCCTGATGACTCTACCCTCTTCCTAGGCTGAGCACACCCACCAACCACCTGAGTGAACCACCCTGGGTCACCACCATCAAGCTAGCTGGCTCCCTGGTAGCCGGGCTGGAGCACTACGATTTGCAGGCTACCCATTCCAACTAAGTGTAGTCTGCTCAGTGCCCTCTGCTTTCCCCTCCTTGACAATAAAATAACCATCCAGATGCCTAGATGCCTCTCAGTTATGGTCTAAGGGTTGGAGGGGTGGGGCAGGGCAGGGGCCTCCATGAAAGCACCACATCCTGGAAACAGTAAGGAGGCTGGACCCAGATTAGCAGTAACGGAGGTTCCATTCATCCAGCATGTGGACTGATGGGCCCAGGGGTGAGATGTTCTTATTTCCTTTAATATGATCAGCCCCATTTCCAAGCTGACCTGGTGTCAAGTTCAGGGGTTCAGAACAAATCACTTTGGAAAGCAGGAATGATCATTCTCATTTTACAGCTGGGGAAACTGACTCTGGAAGGCTTTCTTAAAAATCCCACATCCCGCAAGTGGCTCAGCCAGATTTGGACTGTCTTAACACACCTCAAGAACTTCAAGGCAGGAAACATAGGCTGTGGGGGTGCAGGTCGTAAGTCACAGCACTGGCTCAGAAGGGCGGGAACTAAGGCAAGTCCATGCCAGGACCCATGCCTTTCATTCCACAGAAGTCTCAAACTGGCAGCCCACAGACGGGTTCCATCTCTCATGTCATTTTAAAAAACTGGTTTAATTCATTGCAAACATTTTTTTAAAATTGGGATATTTCACCCCCTTCACTGAAACACTCTGGTGCCTTGCCTTCCTGTGTGTCCACAGCTGGCTGCAACAGTCCCTCTATCCAGGGCCTGTGCTCTTTCCCAGGCCACGGTACCACTGGGCCCGTGCAGAGGGGGCATCTCGGTTTGAAACCCTGAGCAATGGCTGCTGAAGAGATGCCGACACAGGGTTATCTCAGACCCCCTAGGGCCCCAAACTTCCAAGTTCTTGTAGATAAGAATTTATGTCCCCACCATTCCACTCGGGGAGACAAGGGCCTAAGAGAGAAAATGTCAATCCACCTTTATTGGAGGAAACCCTGCACTGCATCTGCTTTAAATAATGCAAACCCTGCCCACCCCAGTGCCTGGCAGGCTCAGACGATCATCTCCAGCTGCCGGGCATACTCGATGACCTGTTTGGCCAGCTCCGTGGATGGGATGGTGGTATCTTCCGGCTTTTGCTGCTGGCTGGCAAAGCTGTAATAGTTGTTGACACCCAGGACCCATCCTCGCTGCAAGAAGGGAGGGATGAAAAATGGATAGGGTGATCACACAGGCTCCCTCCCCACCACAGAGCCAGCACTTACCCCGGTGGGCCCTGGCTCAGTGTCCTCACCAACCCCACTCTACCTGCACAACCCTAGGCAAGTAACTTCACCTCTCTGTGCTTCAGTTTCTCCATGTTTGAGGTGGGGACCCTAATCACACACCTCTCTGGGTCTGCAGTGAGCATTCAGGGAACCAAAAGTGCTGAGAATAGTGTTTGGCCCAGAGTAAACACTAAATATCGGCTGTCCCCATTGCTCAAGTTGAATTTCACCTCTTCCAGTCTGATCTCGACCCTCAGCCACCAGGGCTACTGCACCCCATACCTCGTTATCTTCAAGGACACTGCTCCTGCACAAATATGGACCAAAGGAAGTGAAGTCTTGTGGGGAAAAGCTGCAACCTCTAAGTACTTCCGATTAGGACAACCACCCACATGTACTAAGCCTCCACCTCCACCTGGTGCCAGGTGCTGTGCTACGCTCACTCCACATGTTCATTTCTAGCCCCCTTCTACAGATAGGAAAACTGAAGCTCACAGAAGTTCAGCAACTTGCCTGAGGTTACACAACTGGATTCAAACCTGGGCAGTCTTGCTCCAGTGTCCCCCAGGCCACCCCACCCTGCTGTTAGTGAGTGCACCCCTGGCACCATGGCTCCTTGCCCTGTACCCCAGCCACCTTCTTGGCGTAGTCCGTCATCTTTTTGGGTGTGTTGAAGAAAAGGATCCGGGTGGCCTCAGTGAAGAGGATTTTTTCATAGGCTTTCTCGATACACCCAGCGATCTCATCCCTGGGGGTAGATGAGGATCTCATTACTAAGCACAGACAACTCTCCAGGCCCTGTCCTCTTAGGCCTGACAGATGTGAGCTCCTTCAGTTCAGCACTGATGGCTGGATAATATGTTACTTGCCCCCATTTAACCAATCAAGGCTCAGAGAGGAGGGCAGCTGGACTAGAGTTAAAAAGCGAAGGCCACAGTCGGGCCCTCACTCAGATCTCTGGGACTCCTGGGCCCACACTCTGAATCCCACTCTGAATCCCACTCCCAGCCACGAGGACTTGAGGCTGTCTGGAACCCAGCCTCGGATTCACATAGGGATCTCTTCACATCACACCCTCCCTACAAGATCCGATCCTGAGGGGGTTCCCTGCACCCCTATTAAGAGGTCAACAATGAAGCAGAAAAGCAGCAAGGCATCAAGTCACTGAAACGGGAGAAGGAGTTTGCTCTGGGGAAAAACCATTGACAGGGACGAGTGTATCCGTTTCTGAGGCATTTTCTCTCTTATGCCAAGTGGTAGGTATACGGGCGCTCATTATATCACCCCCTGTTCATTTTCAAGCCAAAAACACTCCAAAGAAGGGGAAACCAAGTTCCCACAGTTTAGGTGACCTGAGGTGAAGCCACGTGACTTGTGGAGCAGGGTCTCCCTCTGCTGTGCGCCAAGCCCACGCTCAGGGTCTGGTGTACCTGGGCACACACGTACACGGCCCAATGTGAGGTGAGGGCTGTCATCCCCACCTCATGACCAGTTTCAGTTCACAGAAAAGGAGAACTCCTGTGCCCAGCCTCCCCAGATCACAAGTGGCCAGAATGAGATTCCGACTCAGGGCTATCTGACTCGAGTCCAAGCTTCTTCTGAACTCCACAGGGCCCTGACCCCCCACGCACCTGATAGTGTCAAGCAGGATGTCAATGAAGAAGGTATAGCTCTCAGCAGGGATGTTGCCTTTGGCCAGGAACACCTTATTGTAGCTGCCCTCCATCAGGTACTGGAGAGGACAGGGTAGGGAAGAAGAGAAGGTGAGGAAAAGGCAGCACAGGGCCCAACCCACTGAGGCCTCACCAGACTCCCGGTGCCTCCACCATCCCTCTGCCATACAGTCACCCATTTCCCACGCAGACTGGGTCCTATTCTTCCTGGAAGCCCTTCCAGGTCCTCTCACTCTCTCTCTCTCTCTCACTCTTTCTCTCTCTCTCAAGACTGCCCTGGGTGAGTACCTAATCATCTCATCTATTTTTCAATCACAAGAGGGAGAAAGAGCTCGAGCCAACCCAACCTCATTCCTCCACATCTTTGCCCAAGCTGTGCAGCCCATCACAGCTGCCCCCTCCCATCGTCTCCCCACAGTGAAATCCTCCTGAGAGACGGCAGCTGTAGAAACTACTTCTTAACCTTAGGTACTAAAGCTCTTCCTTGGCCCTGCTCACCTTCTCCCAGAAACCGTCCTCCTTGCTGTCCCTCAGACACATCAGGCGTGTTTCTGCCCTGGGCCCTTGGTCTGGCTGCTCCCTCTACCTGAATCATTCTCCCTGAGATGATCACGTAGCTGGATTCTCCACCCCTTTCCAATCTTTCTTAAATTCCACTTTTTTCAGCAAAGCCTTCCCTGACCACTCTTACAAAAAAATCACCCCTGCCCCCGACTCTCCACCCTTCTTCCTGCTTTATTTTTCTCCATAGCATTTCACATCTTACAAACCATACAGGTTACTTCATCTTTTTATTCACTGTCTGCTTCCTCACCTGAATGTCATCTCACAAGATCAGAGATTTTATCTGTTTTGTTTATTTTACATTCTGAAAGCCAACCACAGCACCTGGTAACCAGCTGGGGCTCAATATTTGTAGGACGAATGAGCAAATGAGTCCATAGGCTGAAAGATGGGTGAACCCTGCCTACTCCTCCAGGAAACCCTCCCAAATGTCTGTCCCCACACTACTCCCTTCAGCCAGGCCCTCCCCTCCCCCTTCCTCAGCCTCACTTGCTCCAGGGACACTGGATGCTTGATGTATACATTGGTCTGGATGTCCTTGGCAGGTAGCCGCTCCAACTCTGTGTGGAACTCAGCCACCCGGTTCTGGGACAGCAGGAAGAGAAGGTTGAGGCCCAAGAGCTGGTGCATGTAGGCCGACTCGGGGAGCTGTTCCCTGTGGAACAGGGTGGGGAACCAACATAAGGAGATCTTAGGAACTGACCAAGTCCCCAGCTCTAGGTTCCAGGGACCCTACGAACGCCCTGTGCTCTCACCTGGGAAGAGTATCAGGTGCTGAGGCCCAGAGAGACATGAAGAAGTCACAAGCACATGGGCCCCAGAAAGTGACCTCGTTTCAGTAAAGAGACTCAGCCTCAGTTTCTCCAACTGTACAATGGGTTTCACCACAGTATCCATCTCAGAGGTGGGTTAAATGAATAAGGGTTAAGTAAATTAAATGATTTAATCCAGGTAAAATGGTTAAAACAGTACCTGACCTAAATGAATACTGTGTAAGTGTTAACTATGATTATGATATTAAGAATCACCACCCTCACTTTATGGGGGAAACTGAGGCTTAGGGAGATGAAGCCATTTGCCCAAGACCACATAATCAGGAAGTGGCAACATTAGTTTCAAACTCAGGTTTGTCTGGCTTCTGATGTCAAATTCTTAACCATTAATCCATGCAGGCACCATTCAGTTATGAAACCATTCAGCTTTATATTCAAGACACAGCCCAGGAGTCCCTACTCTGGGCCTGGCTCCATGCTAGGTAGTGCTGGGACACAGCAGTGACCAAGGCACTTCTGCCTTTAGAAGACGCACAGTCCAGGGGGAGAGACAGGGAGGCACAAACAGAGGGGACACAGATCATACAGCACTGGAGGCCACAGGAAAGAACCTGGTCTGGAACCTGAGGGCTATGGAGAGCCATAACAGGTTCTAAGCAGATGGTCAAATTTTGACCAACATGGTCAAATTTCAGTGTCACAAAGGTCCTACTGGCTGCCATGGAGGGATGAATCTGATGGGGCAAGGCTGGGGCCGTGGTGGGTAACAGGTGATGGTGGCTATACTGCAGAGTAGAAACTTAAAAGAGCTACCATGTAACCCCCCCACCCTCCCCCACACACCGAATAAGGGGCAGGGCTCATCCTCACTTGTAATCGAAGTAGTAGCATTTAAGCTGGGCCATGTACCGCTCGAAGGAGGGGATGTCCTTGCGTAGGATACTCCATTGGGCCCCGATCTCCAGTATGTCACCTGTAGGTAACAGGGGAAGCTCTCAGGAGGTGACTATGGTCCCAACCCGACCACTACTACTGCCATTCCTGCCACAGCCCCCAGCCGACAACTCCCCACCAACCCCAGTAACACTCACGTGCCAGAATGAGCTGCTGTTTGGTCAGTTTGGTCCCTGTGGTTGGCAGGAAATTGAGCTCCAACAGAACCAGCTGACAAAGAGTAGGGGAAGGAAGGAAAGCAGATGGAACTTCAAGTACAGGTTACTTACCTCTCTCTAGGCTTTGATTTTCCCACCTAGAAAATGGGGCTAATCATCATCCCTGACTCATAAGATTGTTACTGAGTATTAAAGGAGTCAGTCCTCATAAAGAACTCAGATCAGGCCCTGGGCACATGACGAGTGTTCACTGAGGATGACCTCAGACTACAAGTATTAACAGGATCACTGGGGAAACAGGAGACACACTCCGTGCCTGACTCGATGGAATCAAAGGGGTGGGGGTACGCTAGCACCTTCAGTTCTTTGGCAATCCTTTCCCACACTTTACTGGGTTGGGCCCAGCTACCCCCGCCCATCTACACCAGGGAGGAAGAGGGGCTAACCTCTCCCCATAGCTCTATACAGACATCATCCCTACTCATATACACTCTCTTAGCAACTTGACCCAACCGACTGTATTCACACTCTTTCCCAAACACACTTGGCCTGAAGCACCCCGAGCTCCATTCTGGTCCTCTACTGTAAGAATATTTTTCCTAGGTTCAGTTCTGCCCTCACAACTTGGCTGGGCCCCCTCTCCCCAAAGATGCATCCCTAAGCTCCAGATCTCTCGAACCCCAGTTTGGCCTGGTCTTAACCACGCACCCCATCATCTCAGCCTCCTTCCATCACCCTGTCCAGACCTCATTTCCCCCTTGATGTCGCCCAGAACTCTCAATCAGAAAAACTCCGACACCCGCTTCCTGCCACTCCAGGCAGCTAGGCCTCCAAGCACCAAAAATTTAACCTCTCACTCGGCTGTGCCAGACCCACTCCTTCCATCACCCTCCCACCATGGGGTTGCATTTTGTCCGTTCCAGGCCCTCTCACTATTTCACTCCTCCAAGCCCGCATTTTGGCTGTTCCGAATCCTTCACCCTGTTGGGTCGCCCAGCCAGCCTTGGTCCGCGGCCTCCCCCTGGGCCCGGAACTCGGCTGGGTATGAACCCCTCGAAACGCCCGCATCCAACCCCTACCTTGAGACGGCCCAGCTCTTCCCCGCACTTGCTAAGATTGGGGCTTTTACGGTTCCACTCGCCCTTGAGTTGCTCGTACATGCCGGCCGCGGCCTGCAGGACTGCGCCCGAGGCCGCCGCAGTCCCGGAGCTCGAGGCGCCCGCCGCCCCGTTCACCGCCGCCGCCGCCATCTTCCGTGATGCGGCAAACCGCCGGCCCAATTTACGGCAGCGACGCCTACAGCTGCTCGCCCGGCGGAAGGGGGGCCGGGAGGAGGAGCCCAAGGCCGAGGGCGGGGCTGCGACTGCCCGCCTCCGCCCGCCGCGGCTAGTGTTCAGTCGCTCTCGGGTAGGTGCCCTCGGAGCCCGGCGCTTAATAAACATGCCAGTCGGAGCTCCGCCTCTGCTGTCACTCAAGATGGTGACCGGAAGTCGTCTTCTGCCCTAACTGAAAATGGCGGCGGTTGCAACGCTTTTTCACCTCCCGTAATCAACATGGCCGCCCCGGCTTCAGCCTGGGGTTTCAGGACGCTACGTTTGTCTTGAGATTTCTACCTTTGCAACGACTCTTCTAAACCAAGAGGTGGGGATGGTGGAAGTCGTTCGCATAGCTATCTTAGTCCCACGTTATAGACAGGCTTTGAGAGGCTGCGTAAACTTCCAAGAGATTAACAGCTGAGATTTGACCCTGCGTCTTTCTCTCTAGTCTCTCGGTGCATTCTTCCACATTTTCTCCAGGCGTGTACAAGCATGCACAAACTTTGCAAAAAGCATCCAGTCCTAATGGCTTTAAATGTCACATTTAACTGCCATATGCCATCTGTTTTTGGTAATCAGGTAATCTGATCATCTTGCTCAGTTTCCTTCTGTTTCTGATTTAGGATTAATACAAGGAATGGACGTTGAATTTTAGAAAAAGCTTTTTCAGGCACCTATTTATGTAATCATACATGTTTGCACACCTGAGCCTGTTTCTTCACCTGTGAAGTAGGGATAATGATAGAATTTTCCTGATAGAACATCATGAATATTACTTGATAATCCAAGAAAAGGGATCTGCTATGGACTGAATGTTTGTGTTCCCCACAAATCCCTATGCTGGAACCTAATCCCCAATGTAATGGTATCAGGAGGTGGGACATTTGGGAGGTGATTAGATTGTGAGGGCAGAGCCCTCATAACTGAGATTATTGACCTTATAAAAGAGACCCCAGCGACCTTCATCCCTTCCACCATGTGAGGACACTATATGAGGACAAAAAGATGATCCTCTGTGAACCAGGAAGCAGGTTCTCACCAGACATCAAATCTGCTGGCACCTTGATCTTGGACCTCCAAGCTCCAGAATTGTGAGAAATAAATTTTTGTTGTTTATAAGTCACCCAGCCTATGATCTTCTGTTACATCAGCCTGAATGAACTATGGTTAAAATAGGATATTGTCAGGGGAGAGGCTATAGCTCAGTGACAGAGTGCACAATTAAACCCAGTACCTCCATTTGAATAAACAAATAAACCTACTTCCCCCCACCAAAAAAATTAAAAATGGGTATTATCTCACCACATTCTCCTGAATTGCATCAATGCAATTAATTTTATTGATGAGCCTGTACCACTGACTATTGGACCATACTACTTGACCATTCCTGACCTCCCTCCTGAGTCCCAGACCTGTGGTTCCCGCAGCCTCCTGAAAAAGCTCCTTGAGAAATCTCTCAGACGTCCCACACCCACCATGTCCCCAAATGGCCTTAGTGTGTCCACAAAACCTCCTTCTCCTTTGTCCTCATCTCAGTGACAGCCTCTTTGTCCCCCATCCCCCAGGGCAGAGGCCTGGGCCTTTTCCTAAATGCCCCCATCACTCCCATCCTTCCTTGGGATGTCAGTTTCACAGTCTGTTTGCCAGGCTTCCTGAGCATCCCTTCCACCTGCGCCTTCTCCTCCCTACCCCAGGCTTTGGTCCAGCACCATCCCCTTCTGCCCGCTCCCCAGCCTATAGCTTCCAGCCCTGAGCCATTCTCCACAGGGCAGTGAAGACATCTTTCTGCATCTGACCATATCCTTCAGCTTCTTGGCTCTAAATTCTCCTCTGATAATTCCTAAGCTCCACAAAATGTGACCTCAGCCACCTTGCTGTCTCATCACAGACAACCTGGTCCAGCTGTCTGTCCCTGTGTCCCCTGGGCCTCTACTTCTACGGTGAAGGAGTGGCAGGGGATGGTCAGAGGACCTCCATAGTCACTTCACCCAAGACCTCTGAGGAGGTGCTGAAGTTGGGCCTATTGGTTGAACAGAGAGTGGAGTTCAAAGGCACATTTGCTTTTTGCTTTTCAGTCCCCTTTTCCCCTTCTTGACATACAATTTTCTTACAAGAACTGCCCTTACCTACACATGAGCAAGAGATTAGGGTGGGATTGACTACCTTCAGTTCCAGGGGTGAGCTCTGAAGGGCTTCAACCAATCAAGGTCCCATTCCTCTGGCAGTGTGAGTGGTAAAGTGACCTTACAACCCCATTCAATCAGAGTCTGATAGGACTTTTGCCTGGGAATGTTGGACTCCAGCCCCTTTTATCTTGGGACAATAGGACAGACATGTAGATGTGCAGCCTCAGATTGGGGCAGGGGGGCTGGCCTGAGGTCAGAGGCCAACCTCAGAGAAGGGCAGAGCAGGGAAACATGGAGCCAGAATCCTATGGACATTGTGGCCTTCTGGATCAAACTGTACCTGAAGTCTATATTAACAAAGTCCATAAATTACCATTTCTATGTGGACCATGTGAGTGACACTTTTGCTATCTGCAACTAAAATAAAAGTCAGCCTCTCCAGAGTCCCCTCCTTAGGCTAGACACTAGATAGGTGTTGACATTCAAAAAATTTAACAACCGTTTTAAACCTGGGCACTGAACAATCAGAACAGACTGCAGGCCATAGCAACAGGCCTGGGTCACAGAGGACCCTGCTGGATGGTAGGGAGGTCAAGGGCACCCTGGGGAGGGGCTGAGTTGGCAGGCACACAGAGAAGCCACTGGTCTACCAGCTGGCCGAGAAGGACTTAGATATTTTAATAACCTATGTGGCTGGGTGGTACAAACTAACTGAACATGAGTCCTGACGAGGACCCACCACTGGTGCTGAAATGAGAAGTGAAAATTCAAGGAAAACAGGAAGAAGGTCCTGGGATGAGTGACAGGTTGCTTTTCCAAGATGGCCCAGGAAAGGAGAGATGAGGGTGGGTGGTGGTTGGGGCAGGCAAGAGACTCAGGTCAGCAACAACTTCTTCAAGGTTTTTTGAGTACATCCTTGTTCTCCTGCACTGCCTTGGGGATGACTCTGGAGCTACCCCTGGAGCCACCCCCAGATTTGGTCCCAGAGGTCCTGATGAAGACTCTGGTGTTGGAGTGGGTGCTGTAGGTGTAGGATTCTGAGGCCATGATGTTACCGATCTTCCAGTGGAGGACGTTGCAGGCCTTCATCATACAGGGCAACAGGAGGCAGAAGATGAGGTAGAGGATGACCAGGCTGACAAACAGGCTGGCTGACACCTGCAGGCACCACACAACAGGCATGGGCGGGTGGCCTGGGGGCCACCACCCACCCAGCGGGGCAGCTCCTGGGCGGCCACTCACCATGAGGATGAAGAAGGCCCGCTTGGCGCTGAGTGGGAGCCCGTGGATGTGCAGCAGGAAGGTGAGCTGGTAGTCACAGTATGTGCTCTTGTCCACACCTCTGGTGGGGGATGGGGTTCAGGATCGAGGGAGGAGCTAGGCACCCCAGGCAGCCCCCACCCACAGGGACCACAGGTCTGGCTCACCTATTGCTCACCAACACCTTGAAGTAGAATTCAGGGGCGAAGATGCTGTGGGGAACAGTGTCGTAGCACGGGGAGTTCTCCAGACAGAGCCACCTGGGGGCCCGAGTTCAGGACCTTGTGATACAAATCATACCTACCACGTACGAACCCCTGACTTCTCCCTCCACCCCACAAACTCCAGGTGAGCACTAATGACAGGCAATCTCATACCTTCCTCCCCGATTCACCCCTTCACTCATGCACCCAATAAGGCTGACGGAACCCCTACCAGGAGACAGGCTGTTTGTGAACTCACTCGTTTCCTCCTGTCTTCGCATCTCCGATGTCGAGTGCTCCATTACTATGCCTTCATCTAGACTATGGATTCTATACCTATTACGTGTCAACTCCTCATTTTTCCCTTGCTGCCCTCATTCCTTCATCCCACAAATGTAGCCTAAGAAGCTACTAGGTACAAAGTCATCTTCCTTCATCTATTCTTTCCTTTATTCATGTATTCAGTAAACACAGGGTGAATACTGACGAGGTGCAGGTTGGTTACTTTGTTCATTCATTCACTTCCTTCATTTGCTCAAGGCACCATTTTCTTCCTCTCACTGACTCAAAAATAGTTATTGAAGCCCTGTATGCTAACTCATTCCTTCATTGTTTTATTCGTTCATTAATACCTCCATCTGAATGTCAATAAATGCCCACCGTGAATGAATCAATTAATTTGTTCACTGTCTCACTCAACAAATACTCTGTTGTTTATTCTGGACTGGACCCCTAAGAGAGATAGGCCCTACTGGAGACAGTGCCGGCCCAGAGGGGTCAGAGCTGGGCAGGGGAAGCACAGGCAGAGCGGTCAGGGTGGGAATGGGGAAAGTACAGGAGAATGTGAGACCCAACAGAACCACCTAGAGGAGTCAGAAGAGTCCTCCCAAATGAAGGGGCTTCTGAACTAAGGCCTGAAGAAAGAGTAAGAGGAACCAGCCCTGCAGACAGAAGGTCCAGCTTGTGTAAATTCAGCCTCATTTGAGGAACACACAGCATAGCTTCAGGATCAAGAGATGTCCCAGAGGCAGAAAGGATGGATAGGTCCGATAGATTGTAAGCAAGGAGGGGAGAAGGGGGCCAGCAGTCGGGCCAGGTACTCACTCAATGCCTAAACTGTTGTGGGACATGATGTTGAAGGCCGAGTCCTTGGTGGTCGTGTTCTTCGTGGTCCAGATGAGGCTGCGGGTCCTGTGCAGGAAGCAGTAACCTCAGTCGGGGGTGGGGGTGGGGCTTGGGGGGGAGGGGGAGGCCAGCAGCGTGAAGCAAGGGAGCTGGGAGGGGAAGAGACTTGGGTGGGCGAGGCCTCAGGTTGTGCTCCGGGCCAAAAAGTGTGAAATCCTAGGAGCCTGGGCTGTGGGCGGGGCCGGAGATACCAAGGTGGGTGGGGCTTGCAGTCAAGACTAGGTCTATGGCTGGGAAACTGAAGGGGCCAGCAGTGGAAGAAAGGCTGATTATGGGCCAGGTCCCACAGGGATTACTTGTCCAGAGGGCTGTTGAAGCGGTAGATCTCCTCCTCGCTGTATTCCTTGATGGTGTCCATGGTGGGCCCGCCGCCCACCACCTTCAGTACGTAGCTGCCGGGAGCACAGGTGCTCATGGACTGGCCTCGGTGTCCAGAATCCTGCATCACCTCTACCACCCAATCCCCACTCTCTCCCCACCTCCCCACCCCACTCCCATCAGCCGCTAGCTTGGCCATGCCTTTACCTGCCCTGAAAACTGCCAGAATCTCCCGTCACCAAGTCTTGGATCAAGAAGAAGGGGTAGAAGACTGTGGGGTAGGAGGGGTTGAGGCCAGAAGGAGGAGAAATTAGCTTGGAAGTGGAGGATGGAGAGGGGAGGAAGGGGAGATGAGAGGACCAAGGGGAAGAGCAGAAGATGGGTGGATGATGAGTGGGCAGGAGGAAAGTTTAGGGAAGGCAAAGTGGCCGGGGCAGAAGACACTGAACAATGAGAGGAGGGGACCGGAAACGCACTATCGCGGAAGAAGAAGCAGGGCATCTCAGGATCCACTTGCACGCAGTCGAAGTAATGCTTGTTCTGCAGGCGGCTGTACTCCAGCGTGTAGGTGATGTCGAAGGCCAGGCGCTTGCCTGGGGGGCAGCCGATAAGCACTGGTATCATCAAGCTGCCCTGAGTGAGAGGAGAAAAGCCTTACTCTGGAGGGTGGGGCGGGGAGGACACCCCTCCTCCCACACACACTGCCACCACTTGCCAGGTTCACCATCATCAGAGGGCAATGTCATCATTATTATCCTTAAAACAACATTCTAATAACTGCAAACACTTAGCTCTTATGATGCACCAGCACTAAGGAATGTTCTAAGTGCCTTATGTATTCATACTCATTTAATCCTCAAAACAGACTTGCATGGTAGACTATTAATATCTCCATTTTAGAGATGTCAAAAGTGAGGCACAGAGAAGCCAAGTCATTTAATTATCCACAGCCACACAGCTGGTAAGTGGCAGAGCTGGGATTCAAACTGAGACAGGTTGCTTTCAGCCGCCTCCAGAATCAGATATACAAAGCCACCAACACCTACACCTACAGAGCATCCGACTCCTAGCTGGACTTTGGGGGATGGAAGTTGAGCCCGATTTCTCAAATAAGAGACCTGAGGGAAGCATGGAATACATGAGGGAAGCGGAGCCCAGAATGGCGGTCAGGGTAGGGGACCCCCGTGACATTGTCCTAGGAATGAAAAGTCCTTGGCCCATATCAGGGTTAGGGCTCAGGGGTTTCATCCAAGTCTCAAAGGGACATGGGCATCTGGAGGCTGTGGCCTGGGTTGATGATGACTGTGCAGAGGGGTCGGTGGCCCTAGATTAAGCCCTTCCCACCCCAGGCCTGGGCCAAAGACTTTACACCTATCAGCCACTAAGTCACAAGGAAGTCTAATGAGCATCTCAGATTCAATCTATCCACAACCCACCTCAGTTTATGGTACCTCTTTCCTCCATGTTCAGGCTTGAGGCCTTGGCCTCATCCTGGAAACCTCTCTTTCTCTCACTCCCACATCCAGTCCATCCAGATACTCTGTTGTCTCTAGACTTCAAAATAGAGCTATTCTCCCTGACAACCTCTCAGCTCCTCTGCCCCACCCTGGCTGGCCCAACCTGCTCCCTCCCTGGTGTCCCTGTTCCAGCCCTTCCCTCCAGAGCTAACCCCCACATGCAGCCAGGGGGACCCTGTGAACACCTGTGTTGCTCCTCTGCTAGGATGGCTCCCGAGGTGTCACCTCACTCACCGGGGCCCACTAGGCCTGGCGTGATCTGCCCATCACCACTGTGATCTCATCTCTCTTCATGCTCCTCCTCGCCTGCCCTGATCCAGTCATGCCTGCTCCTTACTGTTCCCTTAGTCTGTGAACCATACTTCTGCTTCCAAGTCTCTCTGCAATCCGTCACCTCTCACTGGCACACTTTCTGGCACATAACCATGTGCTCGCTTCCTCTCCTCCTTCAAGTCTTTGCTCAAATGTTTCCTCCTTAGCCAGGCCTTCCCTGAACCATCCTATGGAAAAGGATAACATACCCCACATCCCTAGCCTGCTTCTTTTTCTCCTAGTGCTCACCGCCCCTTAACATCCAATATCCTTTATTTCTCTGGATTATTGCCTGACTCTGTTCTGGGTTGAATTGTGCATCCCCAGAAGATAGGCTGAAGTCCTAATCCCCGGGTACCTGCGCCTGTGACCTAACTTGGAATAGGGTCTTTGCAGAGGTAATCAAGTTAAGATGAGGTCGTACTGGACTAGGGTGGGCACTAATCCAATGACCAGTGTCCTTATAAGTGTCCTGTGAGGATGGAGGCAGAGTTGGAGTGATGCATCTTCAAGCCAAGGAGTGTCAAGGATTGTCAATGACCACCGGAAGCTGGGCTGGAGGCCTAGAACTGATTCTCCCTCAAACTGCAGAGGAGAACAGTCCTGATTCTGGACTTCTGTCCTCCACAACTGGGAGAGAATACATTTCCCAGTTTGTGCTAATTTGTCATGGCAGCCCTAGGAAACCAATACACTACCTGCTGTCCCCCATCCCACTCAATCCCGCCACTAGGAAGTCAGCTTCGCAAGGACAGGAATTGTGTTTTGTTCACCGCTGTAATCCCAGCACCTAAAGACCAATGCTGGCATGTGACGGGCACTCAATAAATATTGGTGGAATGAATGCATAAGCTCCAGGCACTGGGAGTGAAATCTGTTCCTGGTCTGTCCCCTCAATCCCAGCCCCAACCCCATTCTCCCCTGGAGGCCTATCTCTGGAGCTGGCCTGCTGAGGGCTGCCCCAAGCCTTGAGTGCCTAGTATGCGGAAGTTCATTTCTTCCTTCCTTCATCCAACATATTTACCGATTGAGAACCCACTGTTTATCAGATTAGTTCCAGTTTCCATTTTTCCCAGGATGGGGAGCCAGAGAGAGTCTCCAAGCCTTCCAAATACACATACTTCTTGATCTGGCAATGTGGGGGAGGGGAGAGAAAGGGACAAGAAATCTAAAAGGCCCCAGCCTGAGAATGCAGATAGAGAGAAGTCAGACTGCATTTCACCTTCAGCTCCTCTGTTTCCCTGTTATTTATTTATTTATTTATTTATTTATTTATTTATTTATTTATTTAATTTATTTATTTTGGTGGTGGGAGGTCATTAGGTCTCTTCATTTATTTATTATTAGTTGTTGTTTTTTTTAATGGAGGTACTAGGGATTGAACCCAGAACCTCGTGCATGCCAAGCATGTGCTCTACCACTCAAGCCCCTCCCCTCCATGTTTAAAAAAAAATTGGCTTTTTAAACCTTAAACTTTAGTTTAGGTGGATATTATGGTCACGAGAGAGAGAGAGAGAGAGAGAGAGTAGACATATATATGCATATATATATACACACACCCATATATATAGTAAAAATTTCATTTCCTCTCCCATCTTCCAGCTGTCCTGCCTCTTCCCTATTCCGAGAATAGGGAACCACTCTGAGGACTTTCTTGCCTATTTTCCCAGAGTTTCTTCTCGCAAATAAAAGCAAGCATGGATATATGTTCTCAATTAACCATTCATGCTCACATTTTGTTTATACTGTTCTGTCCCCTGCTTTTTTCTCTTAAGAATAAAATACACTTTGGAGATCATTCGACATCAGTATGTGGAGATCTTTGTTCTCTCTGCCTTTTTTTTTTTCTTTCTTTCTTAACAGCTGAATAGTTTTCCACTGCATGGAACCACCATTTATATAACCACTCCCCTAATTAACAAACATTTAGGCTGTCTCTAGTCTTTTGCTGTAACAGTGTGTTTGCAGATCAGATTCCCAGAAGGGATCTGCTGGGTCAAAAATGGAGTTAACTCTGAGTTTGGTGTCATGATTAAGAGAAAAATAATGTGTATCACTAAGGATAGCAGGAAACACTTCCTGGATGCTGAGGTCAGTCATTCTTCCCTGCACATGACCTGGGTTCTCTAATGTAATCCAAGGAATTGGGGGCTGTTACAACTCAATTTTTTTTTATACTACCCTGGGTCATACCAAGCCAGGAGGGAGGATCCCCAGGCTCTGTCTGCTGGAGAGTGGGCAGGGCAGTGGGTAAGAACAAGGCCTCTTCTACCACTTATTAGCTCCCGGGGTTACTCTAAGCAGATGTCTGCCCCTCTCTGAGCCTCAGTGTCTGCTTCTATGTGAAGGAGATATTGTATGTGTAAACAAGTGAAAACCAAGGACCCAAAGGCTTGAACGATGCACGAGCAAGGTGTGAAAGAGGGGCCAAGCCGGTCCACAGGCCACCTTTGTACTGATTGGAAGAAGCCTTGTGTCATAGATACTTTATGTTCCCTCTGCAGAAAAGTATCAGAAGGGACATTCAAGCCTGTGTGCAATCTGAAAACATGGGTGGCTGGAAGGAGCGAGTGAGTGACTGGGCAGGGAAATGACGAAAATGAACAAGAAGGAAGAAATTAGGAAGTCATACATGGGATTCCCAGGGGAGGCCCTTGGACTCAGCCCTGTTGAGACTTGACCCAACCCCTTCCCTCCCAGCACAGGGCCGAGTACCCCAAGTCCAATACTTGCATGCGGGGCCCCTGGAGCGTGTTCTGAAAGCAGTGCCAGGCAGAGCCCACCACCTGTGAGTAGGAACAGGTGATGATGGTTTAACACAGGGTCCCAGTCTTTCCCCTTATCCCGCCTCCCTCTTTGCCGGGCTTGGACCACACCTTGACGAGCATGGAGGTCTTCTTAAGGTGATGTCCACTAATGCCTTGGTCAAAGCAAGACCTTTTATCACTGAGCGTAACCTGGGGTTGAGGGCAGAAAACGGGTCAGCAGGCCAATGAGAGAACCCAGAGACAGTTAAATAACCGAGGGTTTCTAACGGGTCCACTAGTAGCTCTGCCTCCACTTCTCCTTCCCCATCTGGTCTCACCCAGAAAAGTACCAAGTAGCGATTAATAAGGACCTCCTTCTTCATCACCACCTCGATGCAGCCCGGGTCGCCCAGCACCACCGCCAGCTTTGCCCGACTCTGCGGCTGGACGGAGACCCCTGCTTGGAGCAGAGGGAGGGATTAGGGCCTTCAGCCAGACCCGAACGAAACCCCGCCCCTCAGATTCCACCCGGCCCCGCCCACAGACCGTGCTGGATCTCCGACTTGAACAAATGCCCCTGGGCGGTCAGGAAGATGGAAAAGCTGTAGCTGGTGCCTTTGTCCAGGAAGATGCGCTCGGGCAGCTCATACTCGGCCTTGAGGTCGTAGATCTTTTCGTAACTAGTCATGTCAATGTGCACCTTGCCCGCGCTCCTCCAGTTGCTCGCCAGGTAGAAGTAGTAATCCTGGGGGACCGGATGCCGGCCAAAGTCAGCCCCAAGAGACAAGGGACGGTGAGGGTGTCAGGCTGGGTCCTCCCCGACTCGCAGCCCTCTCCACTCACCTGATCCTGCTTCCTGTCCTTCCACCAGCGCCAGGTGGGGTCGTGGACCGGGTCCGCGTAGGGCTGCAGGGACCGCCAGCATCACGAGGAGGGCCGGGGTGCGTGTCCAGGTAGGCGGCACCCCAGACCCCTTCCTATCCTCAGTCCCAGCCGCTGACTCAAAGCGAAAGATACAAACCCCGGCCCCGCCCCAAGCCCCGCTTTCTGCCCGACGGCCACACCCCAAAGCCACCTCCCCGGAGCCGTGCTCGACGCCCTCCCCAGCCCCCTCAGGCCCCTCAGCCTCAGACGCACCGGGGATGCTCCGCTCTCCCCCACCCTCCGCGGTGGTTCTCCCAGCCACGTAGGCCTTGCCTCCTAAGCCTCTGCAGTCCTGCCTCAGACCAGCCCCGGCCCGGAAGCCCCGGCCGCCTCCAGGCGCCCACCTTGTCGTACACGGAGTGCAGCCAGAGCAGGTAGTAAACGAGGCCCTGATAGGCAGCGAGGGAGATCTCGTTGTGGAAGCCCGAGGGCTCCAGGACGCGCGGCGGCTGTGCTCGGTAGCGCTCCTGCCGCGTGTAGATTTGCGGGTTGGGTAGGTCCCGCAGGCGCAACACCATGAAGGGGCAGAATTCGGTGAAGGAGAGAGTCAGGTGACCCCTAGGTAGCGGGAGTGGAGAACGGCAGTTGACTTTTCCGCGCCGGCCAGGCGCACCTGGAGCCTCCGAAGACCTTTTTCTCACTTCAGTGCTGACTACCCAAGGCTAATCTAGCCTGGACCTTCCTTCTCAGCCTCTGCCCCGCCTGGCCCTGGACACATTCCCCTGGTCGTCCCTCGGTCCCTCCAACCAGAGTCCTGGACTTCAGCCTAGACTCACCAGGAACCCTCCAAGTATTCAACCTCCTAAGCACCTTTCCACGTCCCTCCTCCCCCAGCTGCCTCTCACAGGTGACCAGAAGGATCACTACTGAACATAGTAAAACCATGTAGTCCCTTCCCTTAGTCCCATCATAGTTCCCCAGGCTCCTCAACACGTAGTCCAAGTTCCTCCCTATGACCACCACTGCACTCTGTCTGCACTGCTCCCTCACAGTTCTTGACAGCACAATCTCCTTTCTTCCCTGGGTCCTTTGCACATGTGGTTCCCCCATTCTGGAACACCCTTCTCCATCCTGTCACCTGGACAATTCTTCCTCACCCTTCAGGTCACAGCTCATGCATATCTTCCTCCTTGAAGCCCTCCCTGATGCGTCTTGCCCACAGGCTGGGTCAGACCGCTCCTTTGAGCCCAGCCTAGTTGTTGAGGATGGCTTGGTCCTCCCCCCCAATCCCCATCCCAGAAAGGGAGCTTCACACGAATGGGAGCCTAGGGCTCTCTGACTACTGCTGTGGTCCAGTATCTTCTCACCCTTGCGGCTTCAAGTGGTAGCCGTTGCTGAGCTGCTGGTACATCAGAAGCTGCTCCACAGGCACAAGCCTCTTGACGAGCCTGCCCTGCTGGTTGTCTATAAGGTATACCAGCTGCAGTGGGAAGGCAGGGCCATGTGAGCTGGCGTCAGCCACCCTCTGGCTCCCCATGTCTCCCCATAGCCCCCCACCTGGCACCTGGTACAGTTTTCTGTCTTCGTAGAAGAGGGTGACCATGGTCTCATTGGGGGCGTAGAGAGAGGACTGGTGCATCACCTGTAGGCTGATGTACACCTCCCAGCCCTTGGATGGAAAGAGCTGGTTCACCCGGTAGCTGCCCTCCAGGAGGTACCAGATCTGGGGGTGCAACAGCTGGGTATGTGTGTGAGGACCACAGGCCCTCTGACCCCGTTGCTCCCTCCGCTGAGTGTGAAGGTCCCATTCCCTGCAGGGTGAGGCTTGGGAGCTCACCTCCAGCTGGGACCAGCTTTCTAATTCCCAGACTCAACCACCTTTGCTTCCAGCCCTCACTCGCCTGGATAAATTTCTTCAGTGTTTCAGTCTGCTTGAGTTTCTATTACTTGCAGTATAAGCATTCCTAATACAGACACCCCGTAAAGGCTGGGGTTCTGACGAATGAGCCCTCTTTTTTCCTTTTCACTCTGCACCCTCCAGGGTCTCACTATCCCCGTGGCCTCAGTTTCCCATCTCTGCACTGATGCCCACCCTCTCATCCCCCCAACACATTTGGCTCTAGACCTCACCTTCTTCTTAGCTTCAGCCTGGAGGATCCCCTCTAGGCTCCAGCATGTCCCCCCCTCCACGTGGCCTCCTCTATGAAGTCCTCCCGGACACACACACACACACACACACACAGATGCGATCTGAACTACCATAGGTGCAGTTTGCCCTGTTGCAACCCTGACTACTCTGAACTGTCACTGTCTGGGAACAAGTCCATCTTTCCAACTGGACTGTGACCCGGTGAGCACAGGGCCTGGGCCTAACTCAGTCATCACTGTGTCCCCAGCACCGGGTCAGGCATACAGTAAGTGCTCAATATTTATGAACTGAACAACTGCATGACGGAATAAAAGAGGCACCCCTCTGGCAATCACATCATGGCTCTAAGCACAAGTCTTGCACTCTGCTGAGTGACTTTGGAAGAGGTACTTGACCTTTTTGAGCTCAAGGAGTCTCAGCTATAAATGGATCTCCTGTTGCCCTTCCCCCGGAGTCCCTGAGGACCTTCCCTCCCTTGGGCCCCTTTACTCTAATGGGGAAAAGGGAGACCCCCCAGGATTTGGGGGTGGGCAGAGAGGAGGTGGGAAGAAGGGCAGGGCGGCCCACCTCCTCGGTCTCTGTGACAATAGCCACGTCCCCATGGAATGAGTTGACCAGGTACTTGATGGACAGCTCCTTGGGGAAATCCGCCAGGTAGATGAAGTTTTGATTGTTATAGCTGCTGGGGCAGAGATAGGAGGTAGGGGCACCCAGGCAAGGCCCCTGGGGAATATCTGTTCCCCCCACTGGGCCTAACATGATGCAGGAACCATCTACTCAGTCCTCCACCAGCCTTTTAAGAATGGGACCCTAGCTTCTGCCCCCAATCCAAACCCTCTGGCTAACCTACCCATCTGTAAACAGGAGCATTCAACCAACCTGGCAGTGTGCCAACAGCCCATGGCATTGACGTTGGATCTCTTAGGTTCCTGAGGGGTAAATTTCCCCAGACAATACCCTTCCATTGCCCATACAGATTGGGTCTTTACATCAAGTTTCATTCAAGAAAGGGCTCCCAGCTTTAAAATACCGGCTTCCCCCATCCTTCCCTGCCTACCCCAGCCCATATTTCCCCCATCCCAGTTCCTGACAACTTCTGGACTTGGGCATACTCTGAAAACCTGGTGACTTCAGAAAGAACCCCCACTCTAATGGGGCTGGGGAGGCCGAGTCAGCCCATCCCCCATACCTCATCAGGAGGAAGTTGCCCCAGATGAACAGCCAGTTGTTATATGGGTTATAGGACATGCCCTTAGGTACCATTGAGATGTTGGTATAAGACTCTGCCCCTAGGATATTCAGGAACTCCAGGCCTTGAGCTGGCAGACAGAGGAAGAGTGGATGCAGCAGTGAGATGGGGTCACCTGGGCCCCTCTTGGCCCCCACCCAGCTTTGCGGCCCCCTCTGCCTTCCCTCCTACCGTCAGGGATGAATTCTGGGACGGTGTAGAGGATGACCAGGTAATCACGGACTGCAGGTGGGAAAACGCAGCAAACTCTCCTGAGGCCCTGAGCTTTCAAAACCTGAAACTGGGCAAGTCCCCAGCCCCTCGACTCCGCCAAAGACTCTCCAACGGTTTCCCACTTGGGCCTATTAGCTCTTAGAGTTTCTTTATGTGGATTGTCCAAAGGCACTGCCTCTGAGAGGATACAGTCCTGTTAGGGCAGAGGACTTGCCTCCTCTGACTCCTTGGCTGGGGAGCACCATGCACAGCTTGTACAACTGTACATGGCAGCCCTATTCTCACTTCGGGTAAAATCAAATCAGATCTCCTTACTGTGCACCACAAGGCCCTTCCAGATTTGGCACCTGCTCATCTCTCCAATATCCCTCCCTTGGCTTTCCCCTCTGTTTCAGTCTCATTGACTTCCTCTCAGCCTCTCCAGCCTGTTCACCACCACTGCCCCTTACCCAGCAGTGACAGAACAACATTTCCTTCTGGCTGGCTGCTGGGCACAGATCCCACAGGATGGGCCCTCAGTTCACACCATGGGCTCTTGCCCCTTCCCACTCAGCCCCCCATGGTGCCCCAATTACCCAGGTCATAGCTGACCACCTGGAAATACTTCCTGGTGGAGGGGTCTTCAATTTCCACCAGCAGCAGGAGATTGTAGTGACCAGCAACGAACACGGCCCAGGTTATGGAGCAGTTGACAACTGGTTGGGAAGGAGGAGGTCCAGAGTAGCCCCGGGACCCCGCCCCTCTCTGTGGGCTCTGTAACTGTCATGCCCATCCCGGTTGACTCTCCACCCCTCCCCAAGAAACTACCCATCCATTCCCATGAGCTCTCCCACCCTTCCTTGCTTTCCCACACCCTCCAACCCCCCATTGCCCACCCCCAAACCATCTGGGAGCTGAGTACCTTTTATCGCATCACACACAGACTGCTGCCTGGGCAGCAACTCGAAGGACACACGGCCATCTGCAGAGCAGAACAGGTCAATTCTCAGGCCCTTCACAGCCCGGCCAGCATCTCAACACATCAGCTTTCCAATTATCTGTGGTAGAATGCCTGTGCCTCCCTCTTAGTCTTTGTGATTCCATGGGAACAGGTCTCACCCAACTGGCCTTTCAGTCATTCACATCTGGCCTATCAAAGTTATATCTGCCTCTGGTCACAGTAATTGGCTCAGGTCTGGGCATGTGACCCAGAATGAGCCAAGGTTGCACCCTGAATTCATGCTAGAGTTAATAGGGAAGAAGCTGCTCCCACTCTCTCCAAGTGACTCAAGACAGGTGGGAGATGTGAGCTCTGAGTTCCTGGAGGTCATCTTTAACCCTCATGAGAGGAGTACCTACCTGAATAGGATGCCAAATGACAGGGCTAATAATGAGAAACCCTGAACAGCACTCACCATGTCCCCAGCACTATGCTAAGACCTTTACATATGCTAACTTATTTAATCTTTATGTCAACATGATGAGGCAGGTACTAGTAACATCAGCCTCATTTTGCAAATGAGGATAGAAGGCCAAAAAGAGAGATTGTCACCTGTCTAAAGCCACAGGTGACTTGAATTGGGTGTGTTAGCGCAGTCTCTCTCCAGAAGCTGTGCTATAATCCCTATGCTATACAACCTTGCCAAGAGATAGCCAGAGTCCTGGCAATATACCCTGTGAGCCTCTGGATCCAGCCATGCCTGATATTGGATCCTGGTCTTTCCATTTATAGAAGTCTACAAAGTTTTTATACTTAAATGATTTTTAAATTGAGCTTCTGCCCTTTGAAACCAAGCACATCATGAAGATACAGAGCACACTCCAAGCCCTGCGCTGACAAATGTATAAACCCATCCCAAATCACAGAGACAACCTCCAACCTGAGATCCCTCCTGAAGGAATATGGTGAGGGGTGAGGGCCTGGGGTCAGAATTCTTGGAGGTGAGAGGGTATGGAGGGGGTCTCTCGGGCTGCCAGAGGACTGCAGCCTTACCTGTGATAGTCCCCAAGTAGACGTAACCTTCGTGCTTGCCAGCGGTGAGGGCCATGATGTACTCGGAGCCATTACTATGGAAATGCACGGGGCACAACTTCTTGACACACTCGTTCTCCAGGACATGAACCCATTTCTCTGCGGGGGGCCAGCATAGACATTTGATCCTGGGACCTGGCCACCTATCCACTTTCCCTGGTCTTGATGAACCTGTTATCTGTCCTCTCCCACTGGAGCAACTGTTGAATGTGGTGTCTGAGGGACCCTTGGTGCAGGGCCCCAGCTGCTTTTGAGAAAATCCCCCTTGCTCACACTCTGTCCATGAAGTTCAGACTGGGCTGACCCCACCCTTGCATTCCCTTGGCCAGAGCGATTGGTTCTGAGCTGGGCATGTGATCAAGCTGGGCAAATCAGAGATAGTCTCAGTTTTCAACCACTAACAAAGAGATGGTCTTTCCTGGGGTCCCTGAGGGTATAAAAGTCTGCAGTTGCTAGTTGGGGCAGGGAATCACCATAGCCATCACAAGGATGGGGCCTGTCTAACAGCTACAGTGAGCCCCTAGATCCAACTGTGCCTGAAACCCACATGCTCCTGAGTTTTTCAGCTAAGCTGATTAAACAGCCCATTCTTTGACTTAAATCTAATTTAACAAGTGAAGTTCTTCCCAACATCAAAGGGCCCTAAGAGAGAAAGAGAGGAAAATGAAGTTGTTGGGAACATCCATTAACTAATATAGGTTACAGTCAAAGTTTTGGTGACCCAATAAGTTGTCATCGCTCATTTACATGGGGTGGGGGTGGGGGTGGGGTGGGGTGGTGAGAAGAACTAGGGCTTTGGTAAAAGATGAGGCTGAATCAAAAGCTCTTTTTCCTCTCTGATTAATCCTGTTCATGGTTTTGCCCCTCCAACAGCCGACCTCTGTTTCTGTCTGTCTTTCTGACTCTGTGCCTCTCTCCAGACCCTGAAATTTCTCTCTTGGTGTACATCTTTCTTCCTATGTTCTTTCTCTGTTCTTTCTCG